TATATATATATATATAATTACATAATAAATCAGTAAATATAAGTACATATATATATATATACACAAATACTTAAACAAATGAACAAATAAATAGATGATATATATATATATATATGTATTTATATTTATGCATATATATATATATGTATATATCTACGTATAGGTAAGCGTATATGTATTCGTATATATGTATATGTATATATATATATATGTTTATTTAATAAAGTTTTGAGTTTTCATTGTGCCATGATTTGGTAATAAAGGCTAGTTTTAGCAGAGACAAGCGCGCGATTTATCAAAGAGATGTGCGTGCATCATCAAGAACCTGCGCAGGATTCATCATTCACATGTGCAGGTTTTGTTTACGGTTTAGGGTGCAGGGTTTGGGGAATCGGTTGCGCGTGTCTGAAAAATCTTTTCCACGTGCCTGAAAAGCCTCTCGTCTTGCGCCTGAAAATCCATCCCTGTTTTCGACAAATCCGGCACAAACGCTTGAAAACGCGGTTCCATCTGTTGAGCGACGGCGCCTAAAAAAACCATCACCCCTGTATGTACACATAAGCACATGTGCAGCAAGGAGCCGACTTGTTGTCATGCAGATGCCAGCCGACACATGACAGGGGGCACGTATATACATGCATACCTGCGTGCATGCATACATACATTCACACCATGCAACTAGGTGGGTAGGTATGCAAGTAGGTGGGCAGGTACGTGGATAGTTAGCTAGCTAGCTAGTTAGCTAGCCAGCCAGCTAGGTCGATCGGTGGGTAGGCAGGTAGGTGCATGCGCAATGTAAACATACAGGGGTGAACAGAAGAATCAGGCAGTACGTGCAGACATCCATACATACTTCCATATGCACAGGCATGGGATACTGATACTGGAAGTTACAAGCGAGTACGCACGAAAGAACCGCTACCTGCTCGGGGTTTCAGGAGTACCGCTTCCTGCCGCTTGCCTGAAGCTCTACTTGCAAATGGACTTGAGGCACCCCTAAACCCTAAACCCTAAACCCTAAACCCTAAACCTGAACCCTAAACCCTAAACCCTAAACCCTAAACCCTAAACCCTAAACCCGAAGCCTAAACCCTGCACCCTAAACCCTCAACTCTAAACCTAAACCCTGCGGACTCCTACATTCGTGAGCCTGCGGCTCCTCGGCCGTGATGCCCGATGCCACCCCGTGAGCTGAGTGGTCTGTGCTGGAAACCCCACTCTGCCAACAGATTCGGTTAAGGGTTTAGGGTTCGGGTTCAGGTTTTAGGGTTTATTGTTCAGGGTTCAGGTTTTAGGGTGTAGGGTTTAGGGTTTAGGGTTCAGGTTCTAGTTTGTAGGGTTTAGGGTTCAGGGTTCAGGGTTCAGGCTTTAGGGTTTAGGGTTCAGGTTTTAGGGTGCAGGGTTTAGGGTTTAGGGTTCAGGGTTCAGGTTCTAGGGTGTAGGGTTTGGGGTTTGGGGTTCAGGGTTCAGGCCTTAGGGTGTAGGGTTTAGGGTTTGGGGACAAATCGCGCAAAACCCGACAGACCTTACCCGACAAAAGATCCGGTATCAAAGCGCATGAAAATCGATCCGTAATCACAACATCCTTGAGCCAGCATTGAGCCCTACCCTATGCATCGCAATTTTTGTAGCGGCAGCTCTCGAAGTAACGCTGTCTGTACGTCGTACGACAGTTTGACAGGGTTCTATGATAGACCAACCGTCCTAGTCAGAACAATCGGAGTCAGCATAGCAGCGAAAACTCTAGGAACACTACCGCGGACAACCGGCTTTCTGTGCTCACTTCAGCAGTTTCTCTTTGCCACAGTGGGGGTTCACAGAGGTCTTGTTCGTAGGCCGCATAAGGGGAAGGGAAATGAGGCCAACCATATGACCAGGATAGGCTATAATATAGGGGCCTCAATAGTTACCTATATTATTCTGGGGTTCCTTATTATAACTATACTATACTCGGCCCAAAACCCTATTCTAGTTATTACGGCCCCTACATTATATATATATATATATGTATATATATATATATATCCTTATAATAACCCGTATAATAACCCTTATAGTACGCCTTTAAATACCCCTATTCATGAAAGTCCTCAAACCTCAAACCTCAAACCCTAAACCCTAAACCCTAAATCCAAAATCCTAAACCCTAAACCCTCTGCCATGAACCCTTGGAAGCTCGGTCTCAGGCTTCCCTTCTTCCCACTCATCTCCCTTCTCTCAGGTGGGGATGCAGGGGCGCCAGGGTTGCAGACATAACCTTGAAACCCCAAACCCTAAGCCCTAAACCCCAAACCCTAAACCCTCAACCCTAAACCCTAAGGTAGGGACCTTAATAATTAGAATAGGGTTGTGGGGGTATATATATATATATATACACTCTATCATTACAATAAGGAGCCCCCAAAACCTAATCCTAATTATCAAGGCCCCTACATTAATAAGCCGCGGAAGACAGCTGCACGCGACTAGTGTGGTTCTTGTCGGGGCTTACGGTTTCGGGCGTAGGATGTGGGTCAGGACTGTGGCCGTTGGAATGATAAGCAATGGTTGGCGGCGGCTTCAGCGACGACAACGATAGGTCCGATAGGTAGCACTATGCAAGCATACTTAGGATGATGTTGATGCAGATACATAGAAAGCGGTATCCAGGACTGCAGGCGTAATCACAGCCAGCATTAGGAACATAGTCGGACTCTCAACAGCAGTAGCACGAGCATCGAGGACTTGTTGTGACCACCAACACCCAGATGGGTCTAATATCGGCTGTTCTGACTGCTAGGATCCTAGTAGTTCCATGTTACGAAGCAGAACAGGGGTTTGGGCTTCAGGGAATACCAAGCATAATTGAACACGTCCTTCACCCACCACGGGGCTCAAGATGTGGATATAGTGCGCCAATTGGCGCTAACGGCCATAGCCTGTGCCAGCTATGTCGGATGACGCAGGCATGGTTGCACCTCGCGCGGTTGTTCTGCACGGAGGTGACATTTTCCCAGAGGTGAGCACTAAAGATGCAGATACAGAGGAAGCACAAGCCTCACAGCCGCATCCAAAAGAACGTGACCCAGTCGTTTCTCAAGAGGTGCCACGGCCAGGGGTACAGGATGGGATGGATGACCGGGACTACCACAGGTATAAAGCTATAGCAGGGCACTTGAGCACCATGACCTTGACTTCCCCGACAATTCAAAGGGTGACATCCACCCACCGAGTCTTGAGCTGCTTCGGGCGAGCTCTGCGGAGAAAGTCCCTCCGAGACATGTACCATTTCAGCAAGCCGGCCTTGAGAATCTCACAGTTCGTTTCACACAGTTGGCACGGGTCGGCGTGGAAAAAGATCACCACCCTCTTTGTGCTGAAGAACTTTCCTGCAGCGGTGGCTGCTGGAAGCTTTGTGGCACTGGTCATGATCGTCCTCAGCAGCCTCAACATACTACCTGGCTATGACCGGCAACCCATGCTCGAGATAGAGCGAGCCTATGTTTTCGGACCCTGGGGGACTTGCCTTGGCATGCTGATTGCACTTCTCTTCCTGACTTTCACTGAACGTCGTGAAGAAGTTTTCCTGGATGTGCTATGCATCCATCAGACTGATCGGCGCTTGAAGTCGGAAGGTCTCCTGAACATCTGTGCCTTCTTGAAGAACTCCGACTCCATGCTGGTGTTGTGGGACCCCAGCTACGTTGAGAGGCTGAGTCTTTCTGAGCCATGTGAACCCAACCCTAGACCCTAGACCCTTGACACTGAAACCTAAACCTAAACCCTTACCACAACCTGGATAGGCTTCTCCAGTCCAGCTCGAAGTCATGCTGCAACAACGACCGGAAGACAACAGATACAGATAATCAAAGCCTTAGGATTAGGCACAAACGACGACGTTTTACATCGCCGGCACGAAAGTTTAGATGTACGATGTACGGCTTGAACATGCACGTATGCTACGGAGAAGCGGAGAGGACAAGAGTCTTTTTTGCGTGGCCAGCTTGGCGGAGTAGTTAATTCCCCCGAATAAAATTGTACCACAGGTATTGTCTTGTTCCCGTGGAGAAGCCTTGCAGGACCTTACGGGAGGAGTCTGCCGGGAAGAGGGGGAGCCTGACATGTCTGTGGCGAACTTTTGTCCGTAGCGGCCAGTCCGGGGTTGGCAGTCCACCCTGATGCACCCAGAGAGCCCAATACAGCTTAGTTAAGGAATATAGCTTAAATTATACGGAGCTTCATACTAAGATTGAAGCTATATTCCTTATTTAAGGGGTTTTGGGCTCTCTGGGCAAGTAAAGTGGGATCAGAGGCGATTTCGGCTTTGGCCATGCCGCCTTGCCGAGGTTGCACCTTCTCACGAACTGCAATTTGTCAAACTACCCAGAGACTCCAATACCCCTTAATTAAGGAGTATACCCTTAATTAAATCTTATTAGGGATCCTACTATATATTTAAGGATATTCCTTAATTAAGGGGTATTGGTGTCTCTTGGTATAAATATCTCCCGATGGGTTAATTCCTCCGCTAGGCAGGCTACGTAAAGCGCACTTTTGGGTCCGCCGCGTCTTCAGCATGATCTCATAAGCAAGTGCACGAAACCTTCATCTTGGCGATGCTCTCGAAAGGTGCTTAAAGCGAAAAATCTGTGTGCCCAGACCCCTTCATGGGTGTCCAGACCCCTCATGGGCTACACCGTCTCACGAAGTGCCGTTGCGAACCCACGGACATGATCAAATAATTACGCCCGGACGAAAAGTTTGACATACGATATGCGGCTCTTGGATTTAAACATGCATTTATGCATTGACCCGGGAAACTTGGCCCCGGTTTCGTCCCGGCCCTGAAGACGAAATTCCGAAGCTTTTGAAGACGAAACTGTTCGCACGGAGCTGAAGCTCAAATTGGGTGCGAAGACGCAGTTTGAAGACGAAATTCGGCCCTGAAGACGAAATTCGGGTGAAGACGAAAATTCGGTTGGGGCACAGTGAAGACGAGATTCGAACTTCGTCCCGAAGACGAAAATCCGCAGCACTCAAGACACATGGCAGACGCTTCCAGGCTGCTGAATGCCGGTCTGAAGATGAAACTCGGCCCTGACGACGAGAGTCGGCCGCGAAGACGAAATTCGGCTGCGAAGACGAAATGCGGCCCTGAATGCGAAATGCTCCACGGCCGAATTTCGTCTTCGCAGCCGACTGCCGTCTTCAGGGAGGAATTTCGTCTTCGCAGCCGAATTTCGACTTCAGGCCGACTTTCGTCTTCAGGGCCGAATTTCGTCTTCAGTGTTCAGAGTCGAATGTCGTCTTCAGAGCCTAATTTCGTGCTTCAGATAGGCATTCAGGTGCCTAGAAAAATCTACCATGTGTGTTGAGTGCTGGAGATTTTCGTCTTCGGGACGAATGTCGTCTTCAATTTCGTTCTCACCACCGGTTTTCGTCTTCAGTTCGTCTTTAGGGCCGAATTTTGTCTTCAAATTAGTTCTTCACGCCCAGTTTCCCCAGAACAAAAGTACACGGTCGTACAGTTCCGGCGCGGCCTTGCAGGACCTTGTGTGAGGAGTCTACAGGGGGCAAAGTCCCAAAGTCCCAACATGTTATTTACAAAGCTTGTGGCGAATTTTCGTCTTGCGGTAGTAGCAGGAAACAACAATGGTAGTGAGAAAGGTCCAGCTCAAAGGGTGGTACACACAAGACCAACCTTTCAACGACAAGAGAACACATGGGTGAACTTTTGGCACACCTTCAACCCGTTTCTCCTACTGGAGGCTTTGGTGCGTCTTCGAGTTGGCTGCCTTCCTGAAAAGCCGCGAAAGTGGGACAGCGACGAAGTTGTTCATTAGACCTACCATCCTCGGCCCGAGCTCCATGGCATCCTGCTTCGGTCTCTTTGCGATGCAGCTGGCTCAGACCGCGGTTCCATGGGAGAACGCATTTCATGGCACCCTGGTATTCTCGGTGCTGTGCTGGATTGGGTGTTACTCGGTTGCCTGTGTTTGGCGGAGCCACTACAGGCAGATTGACACCATGAAGACCCGACTGCAGACTTTCACCATTAGCCAGACGACAGCAGATTGTTGCAAAAGAGGCCATGTGGATGCACAGGGCCAAGAGATTCCTTGTGACAAGGAAATACTCACTGAATGCATCCGGCAGTGGTTTGGCTCTGTTGATGCGTTCGAGGATGATGTCAGGTCTGGCGTGGCAGCTGCGTTGTCAGAAGGATTGGGGACGGGATGGTTTCCTTATCCTTACGTCTTGGCTGCCGCAGCACCCGTCTTATGGGGTCAGGGCGACTTCATTGCCTCCCGCCTGCGGCAGGGCGCGTTCTACTATGCAGGTGTCACCGCCATCATTGGCCTCGCATACTGGCTCGCCGCAATTCCCTTCCTCTTCGCCTGCGGTGGGCTTGTCGTCCACAAGTTCCGCCGCAGGTGGGCTTGTCCCTCGAGACCCTCAAACCAAAACCCCTTGGGGTTTAGGGTTTAGGCTCCCAAGCTTGACCTAAACCCTAAGCCCTAAACCCGAAACCCGAAACCCTAAACCCTAAACCCTAAACCCTAAGCCCTAAACCCTAAACCCTAAACCCTAAACCCTATAGCCTAAAACCTTTACCGATGTTCCAGAGCCTGAAGGTACAGCCCCTGCCTCGATGCCATGGTACCACTCCTCGTTTCGGCGTTTCTAAATTTGGTGCCAGGCAGGGGCTTCTGAAAACAAGGGGTACCTTATTTTGGGGTCCTTATAATAAGGATCCTACTATTTAGGGGACTATATTAGGGTCCCCTATTTTCTGAAACCCCCAGGCAGCGGCATGTTCTGGCTACTGACACTGGGCGAAATTAACAAGACGGTCTGGTCTACTGTAATCGACGAGAAGTTCATATTGTGGTATGCAGTATATATTGAGATAGGCCGGGTGTTATTCTTCTAGTCAACTTCCGGGTACTTGAGCTGTGTCAGGGTTTTCCGTAGATTTCCCACCAGGTACTTTCGGCAGTAGGACCTTGATAGCTAAACGGATCACTATGAAGGGTAGATGGTCCTGTCGAAAACAATTTGCGCACAACCTCAAAAAACTGGAAGTAGCGTCGAGCAGTGCACATGTGTGCGAAATAGCGTCATACAGACAAGAACTGTAGCTTGACATAGCACATCCTGCTCCCTCCTAAGCCCCAGACCCTAAACCCTCAACCCTATTTTAGTGTGTGTAACTGTGTAACCACTTAGACTTGCAGCCTTCGCCAGTGCGGTGTAGCAGGCTATGGGGTAGTTCTCGAATTAGGGGCCCTTGTAAGGTTCCCTACGGCACCCTTATAAAAAGGACCCCCAAAGGGACCCTAATGCTTCCATATCATAGTAAACCAACTGATGCTCGAAACCATAGACTGCAATACCCTAAACCCGAGTTTGTGTTTACATGCGAGATAGATATTGTAGTCCGCATGGATTTGGGCATTTTGGGCTCAGCACACCTGGACAGAGTTTTGTCGGGGAGATTCCAGGATTGGCCTTCAGACGATGCTGGATGATATGCTGGCAGCAGTTCTTTGGGCCATTATCGTGTCTTCTTTGGCCCTGCTTGCTTGGGGGCTTATCCCTGGTAAGACCCTGGTTTCCCAAGTTGAATGCAAGTGGAGCTCGAAGAGCCCTGCGGCCTAGTTCCTCAGTCGTTTCACCGCAGGGTTCTGCTGCAAGTGTCCGTGGCCCGGAGCCTGCCACAGGATGAACGCATAGTGAGGTAGAAGAGGCTTGACATGCAACACGGCTTTCTCACTGTTCTCATCTCAAGACTTTCCAAACCCTAAACCCTAAACCCTAAACCGTAAAGCTAACCGAGCGCCACTACGCCCTGAGCCCTTAAAGCCATCCCAGACCAACAGATGTGGATTTAGGGTTTAGGGTTTAGGGCCTTAGGGCCGATCCAATAAACCCTAAACCCTAAACCCTATACCCTAAACCCTAAACCCTAAGTCAAGTCGTGAGAGGGCCTTGTTGTCGTCGCTTTCCGACCTTTTCAGAGCAGCCAGGACCGGCTGAGCCCGATGGTTCACGATAAAAATCCGAAGCTTTAAATCAGAACTCTACGTTACGTTCGCGCCGGTCCTGCAGTGCTGCCTCTCTGCTCTTTTCTGCGGGGTGCCGCATCGGGCCCGTCTCGCATCGTAGTGTCCGCCACACGTGCCGATACTGCGTTTTGCCGACTTGTACAGCCTATGGTTCGAACAGTCAATAAATAAAAACACTCAACTCTAAGCCCAACCTGGCGTCCAGGATGCATTTTTTGGACTGAGGACGTCACGCTGGCAACCGGACAAAATCTGCCAGAAAGACGTATCATTCAGGTATGTTGCGTAGTTAAACCCTAAACCCTAAACCCTAAACCCTAAACCCTAAACCCTAAACCCTCAGTTAAGGGGTATTCGGCTCCTAGGTGCTTCCTCTAGACGAAAAGAAGGAGTTTGGTCTAGGATTCAGGGTCCAGGGACGGCTTGGTATGAGGGTTTGGGGTTTAGGGCTCAGGGTTTGGGGTTCAGGGTGTAGGGTTCATGGTTTAGGGCCTTTAGGGTATAGGGTTTAGGGTTAAGGGTTTAGGGTTTAGGGTTTAGGTGCCTTAATAGTTAGAGGAGGGCTTCGCATTATGCTATCCTTATAATAAGGACCCCCCAAACCCAATTCTAATTATCTGTGCTGTGAATCCTTTTGCTAGCACATCCCTGGTGGGAGGCTCGCTTCGAGAAGTTGCCCCAATAGAGTGCAGTTGGCTATTCCGGGAGATTGTGGTGCTTTGTAGTTTCAGAGTGAGGTTTAAACGTGTAAGACGATTCAATGATTGTAGCAGAGGGTTCTGGAATCGCACTCCACGTATAGAGCGCCGCATCGTGATGTGTGCGGAAGCCCTCTTGGGAGAAAAGACACAGTGCCTCTAACTTCTGTGCCGCAAGATAAAGCTAGTGACTGTTCTGTGCCACTCTATGCTTATGCTTCAGCTCTAAACCCTAAACCCTAAACCCTAAACCCTACACCCTAAACCCTAAACCCTAAACCCTAAACCCTAAACCCTAAACCCTACACCCTAAACCCTAAACCGTAGATCCCTTTCATAACTCGAGCTTTCTCGCGACGAGGGGGCTCCCCGAGCCCCCAACACCTGAAACCCTGAGAAGCATTTTTGTAGGGTTGAGGGTTAACTGCAGGGGTTTAGGGGTTTAGGAATTCGGGTTTGGCGGGAGTTTAGGGCTTGGGGTTCAGGCCTTTGGGTTTTTCGGGTTTAGGGTAACCTTAATAAACCCTAAACCCTAAACACTTAGGGGTAATTATCTGGGTAGGAGCCGGGCTTCAGCGCTGCAACGATGCTTGCTTGCGCCGGAGTGGCAAGGCTCGGAGGGGCTGCTCCCACTTTTTTTGTATACAGTACATCTGGCGGGCCAAAGCTTAAATCTAGTAACCTCACGCCATGAAAAGACATGTAGCCCCAAGCTCTGAAGCCTTAGGCGGTAGAGTTTAGGCAAGCTAAACCCGTAGACGACTCAATCCTTAAACCCTAAACCCTAAACCCTACACCCTCCACCCCAAACCCTAAACCCTAAACCCTACACCCCAAACCCTACACCCTAAACCCCAAAACCCTAAAACCCTAAACCCTAAACCCCAAACGAAACCCGAAACCCTAAACCCTGTACCCTCAACCCTAAACCGCCTGTGCCAGGCAGCTGGCATCAGCTGGCCCCTGCTTGGCGCTGTCTTCCTGCCCCAGGCGCGAGACGCAAGCCGAAGTTTCCTGATGCCGGGAAGGGTTTCGGGTTTAGGGTTTTAGGGTTTTAGGGTTTTATTTTGGGGTTTAGGGTTTTAGGGTTTTAGGGTTTTAGGGTTTAGGGCTTTAGGGTTTTAGGGTTTAGGGTTTTAGGGTTTTAGGGTTTAGGGTATAGGGTTTAGGGTTCAGGGAAGCTTTGGTCTGCGAATTGTTTGGGGTCCTTTTGTAGTATAACTATAATAAGGAGCCCCCCAAAAAATAGTCTTGGCAATGGTTAAGGCCCCTATATTTGATGAGGCCGGAGGCTATTTAGGTTTCGTTTTTGTTAGGAAGCAAGTGCTGCAAGCCTCCAGCCGAAGTGGTTTACAAGTGGCCCAAAAGCAGGAACTGCAAGGAAGAGTCTGGGCACCCTAAACCTGAAACCCTAAACCTTAAACCCTAAACCCTAAACCCCTAAATCCTAAACCCTAAACCCCAAACCCTAAACCCAAACTTCTGTTTTGGGCTTTGTGCCCGCAGGCGATAGCCGCCGTTCTCTTCTGCCTGGTGCACCAGCGAGGTGCCGAGGCAGTGTCTTGGCGACCAACCACCACGAGAGCCCTTTGTGCTTCGGGCTCACGAGGGTTTAGGGTTTAGGGTTTAGGGGTTTGGGGTTTAGGGTGTAGAGTTTTGGGTTTAGGGTTTTGGGGTTTAGGATTTAGAGTTTTGGGTTTAGGGTTTAGGGGTTTCAGGGTTTCAGGGTTTACGGTTTGCGCCAAGATTCTGCAAATTCAGGCAGCTGAGATCAGAAGGCTCTGGACTGAACGCTTGTAATCCCTGAGCTGCTTCTAGGCTTGTTCCGACGTGTCGGGGAAGGCAGCAGAGACGGAGCTTCCGTTCATGTATGTGGATGTCTTGCAAGAATTCGTGTTTTGCGGTTCTTGCAGGCGATCGTGTCTTGATCTGCTGGTGGTAGTTAGGGATACGGGAGTTCCAGTTTCCAATTATGCTTTCCTGAGCTCTTGCTCTTGCAGAACCCTAAACCCTAAAACCCTAAACCCCTAAACCCTAAACCCTAGACCCTAAACCCTAAACGGAGCTTTCGTTTCCAAGGTCATGTCACACTTGCGATCGCGGCCTCCAGGCCGGCTGCTGCTTCGCAAAGAGGACATGTACGGTTTAGGGTTTAGGGTTTAGGGTTTAGGGTTTAAGGGTTTAGGGTTTGGGGTTTAGGGGTTTAGGGTCCCTTCTAGGGGTTCCTTAAGGGATCCATAAGGGTTTCTATAGGGGATTCTATAAGGGTACTATAAGGGCTCTATATGTATAATATTGGTAGTTCTCTACATTAGGCCCCTTTTGGGGGTCCCTTTTCTCAGGGTGCCGTACTACTTTGGGCCCTCCAAAGGGATCCTAATTGAAAGAGAACTGCCCATGTACTGACAAGAAGAATGCCCGCAGCACCACCAGCACCCCCGCCGCGGCCGCCGCAACGAAAACAACGACCAATCGTGGCTCATGGCCTGCAAGGCGGTGTCAGAGTGTAGGGGCGGAAGCGGTAGATTTAGTGTCATGAAGTTCAATGAAACCCTCTGTAGCCCCGCAGCACAGCATGAAATCCGGTAGCAGAGCCCTAAACCCTAAACCCTAAGCCCTAAACCCTAAACCCTAAACCCTAAACCCTAAACCCTAACGTGTATGTGCCGCGTGAATAAGCCGAGATCAGAACTGAAGTGTTGGAGTTCAGACTCTGGGTTTTTACTGCTTGAGGGGTACCGGATATTGGGTTTAGGGTTTAGGGTTTAGGGTTCAGGGGTTTAGGGTTTAGGGTTTAGTTTGGGATTTCCGGTTGCTTCTGGTGACAGCCTTCTCTCGTCAAGCCTTCCTTTCCGCAAAATCAGCGGACAATTCGCGCAGTGTTGGATACGAATACCAAGAGCGGCGACCGAGACGACCGGAGAAGGGCTTCATTCGTACTATCGTG